GAGCATGTCCATGCATGTATGCCTGTCTGTGTAAGGTTAACAATAATTTTGTTGATTGTTTAAAGTTCACTAAAGATAAAACATTTCAGATTCTCTAAAATACTTTCTGCTATGCATCAGTACTTATGAATAATAATTATTGTCTCTTTAAAAGAGGTAGCAGTGTAAAACCTGTTTTGAGGTAGCACTGTGGCCCAGAATAAGCAAAGTTGGAGTAAAAAAAGACCTAAAAGATCTTGGGACAAAGTACTGCAAAAAACAATTGAGTAAGAAATCCATACAGTAAAGCAAACACCTGGCAGTTGTTCCTTGTCATGTTAAGTATACAAAACATATTTCAATCTTTTTTCAAAACAGAAGATAAACATACTTATCACCCTCAGCCTAATAATGACTCAGTGCTATCTAGAGGACAGCAGTTAGCTAGTTCTAGGAAAGAGTGAATACTCTGTGCTGAAGTTGGGAGCCCAGGCCTGCAACTGTGACTGCCAGAGCAACTAGCCTTGGCAGCTTTTTCTTCCTATGATATGGACAGCTGCTGCAGTACGTCCTATTTGCCGGTGAATTCTCTAGGAGGAGGATTCCAAAACACACCAAACACCTACAACAGCAATTATATCAACAGCCAGATCAAAGGAGGTAAGGGAAAGAAAGTAGAGTCCCAGCACAGCTTGGCTGTCACTATTCACCAAACTCCTTTCCCAAAAATCCTGCTCTCCACAGATCCTGCTCCCCCTTCTCATCAGATTAGACAATGAACAAGATAGCTCAGTGAAGGGACTTCACACTCTCTACTTCCATTACTCTTGCTCAGATACATGCCTCTAGGCAAAAAACTTACCAGGTTTTGACACTTAACTGCATCGTTGTATCATTTTGGTTAACAACATTCAACAATGAAATGGTATTACCATTATCATTACCATGGTTAACAGAGAAGCTCAAAGCATAGTGCAATGCTGCAAGTTCCAAAGCATGGAAGAACACATTAAAAACGAGATTTTGGAATGTTTGTGCATTTACTGGTAACTACCATCCTGATGCTGCTTTTGCAAGTAGAGTAAAAATGCGATCCATCTATCAAAAATGCACCTACCTGAAATATGCATTGAAGCCTTAAGGATTTAAAGCACTTGGGTACAAAAGACTTTATGATAAGGGACCAAACTCCAACTCATACTGTAACTGTATTTCGGTCTCATATAATTTAGTATAATGCATATTGGTACTTAAATATAGCATAGAAGTGTACTTAGTTCTTCATCCATAAACCAAAACTGAATCACATGCCTAAGTTAAATCATCCCATAATGTGCATTCTCCTCCTCCTGTTTACCACCTAACAATTACCAATGTGTTGGCCTCGGAGGATGCCTTCCCAACCTGTCTTATGATTATGACCATTGTAAAAGCACAATTCAAAGAGAAAAGATCTCGCTGATAATATAAGACGAAGGCAGTTCTCCGCCTCTGCAATCATTTTTAAAGAAAGCCTGACTGATCACTTTCAAGTCCTGACTTAAAAAACAAACAAAAAAATTCCACCAGAAGAAAATACTGCTGCTCTGCTCTTTGTAACTACAGAAGTAACTTTGAGCTCCCGTATCTAATGTACTAAGTTCTGACAACTGAAAAAACCAGCGTGAAAGCCATGAAGAAAAGTATAAAAATGTACACCTGCTGTATGTGAAAAGCAATTCCAATTTCATAACACTTGTTAATAATCACAAATGCAAATTAATCATTACCTTAACTAATATACTATACTATAATAACAATAATGCTTGTTATCAGTTTCATAGAAGCTTGCTATTTGTAAATTAAATACTTGCATAACATTGCACTGTTCAGTTCACTAATACATGGTAAATGGGTAGATGTTGCTTCTTGGATGCACACCATCCCACTAAATATTTTAGCATCTGCATGTAAGTTGGAAGGAATGTCCCTAATTCTACACTATCGACTGTAAGAATGTTATTAAAAATGCAAGGGTTTAGACATTGTCTATTATGTTTATTCTTTGTAAAGCATCACGGTGGTATATTGTTTCATATATAAAACTCAGAGGCTTCAATGAAAAGTATTCTACTTGAGTGTTACTTGCTTCTGAAGAGCAAGTTCTTTACATTTCAGACAAGTGTTAATACCTACACGTTTGTTAATAACATCAAATATGTGTTTAACAGCATATGTGGAATAAACTGCTCAATTTCCTTGTTTCCAGCATGCAGTAAAAGATACAAGATACATTCCTTAGAGCACAGGTAACTTGTGAAATAAATAAATGACAGAAACACCAACGAAAGCTGATCTTTCAAGGAGATAACACTGGCTAAATTTTACAAGATGTGTACATTGAACTGTTGTTGAACAGCCAAAAGTAGCATCTCTCTTACACAAGCCATCCTGTAACAGGAGTTTATCACAAAATTGCAATGGTATTACACTACGTAATTAGAGTCTGGTTTACCCAGAGCCAATCAAAAGTATTGTACACATATTCATTCTCTGCAAATGAAAATGATCTAGCAGTTAGACACACAGTGGACAGTCAAATGCCTGAAGTCCTGCTCCCTGTCTCTGGGTCTCTGCCTGTATTTCATAAGAAACACTCACTGGATAAACCACACAAAGCAACCAATGCTTCCCAAGGGAAGCCTGCAGTCTTGAAAGCTGGTGTGGTAGGTGGAAGTAGCCCCGTTCCATGCAGCAGGTGAGCAAAGGGCTGCTCTAACTCCCTGGTAATAGTGTGAAATTCTGTTCCTCGTGATGTTTTGGAAGACCGATTCCTACCTAACAGTTTGAAATAATGAGAGGAAGCAACCATTCTCACCACACAGCCCTGCAGTCCCAGAGGCAAAAAGGACTGGAGGTACGTGCCCTTTGCTCAGGCTGCCCGGGAGCTGCCTCCTGTTCAAGGTGCGTGCTCCCTTCCAGGCTGTCTCTTGGGCTGAGAAGTAAACCTAGAGAACCGTGAGTTCTGGGTTCTCCTCTGGGAGGCATGTAATCTGCATCTTTTACTTCCTAGCTGTAGCATTGGGTTCAATAATTTCAATATTGCAATTATCCTCAGGGTACATTTGGTTTCTCCAATTTGTAAAAAACAATGCAACTCCAATTCAACTGAATTACACATAAATACCATTCCAAGGCTGAGCCAGAAAATGTATTTTTTAGAGGCAATATTTGCCTTTTGTTCAGATACTGGCCAATGATTTGACTTTAAATGTTACACAATTTTGACAAAGCCTAACAAATTTTGAAGAGGCAGAAGACTGAAGAAGTCTGACACCTGAAACCACCTTTATAAAAAAAATCCCAACAAAACAGATAACTGATTTCAAATTGACTATGCATTTTAAAGAAACTGTGAAATATGCATGTTGCCTTGGTTAACTGAACAATGAGCAAAATGCAACTAGACAATATAAATAACACCAAAAGCAGATGCTTTCTATTCTATCCATTTTGAGGGAGTAGGGTGCTGCTACTGAGTGACCCAAGAGTGCAGTTTTTGAGTAAAATTTTTTCTTGATATCTAATACTGACACTTGAAATATTAAATACCTTAGAAAACAGCATTCCAACATTACAAACATGTTCTGACTACAAATACATGTATAACAAGTTCTAAAACTAAGAAAAATATTTTTAAAGAACCAGCAGATGTTGTTGGAAGCACTACTCTTATGGACAATAACAATCCCTATATTTTACATAGTTTGAAAACCTCCTTTGCTGCCCTGGGGAATAGGACAGGAAGCCTCAAGCCTCCACGGAAGCCAGCCTGCAACAAGGGCATTATGCCAACAGGACTTAGAGGGCATGTTCTTAATTTGAGTCTTTTAGATTTTGTTGTCTTCAATACTTTCCTCTCTCCTGTTTCATCCTTTGCTTTTATTCTAAAATACTGTGCAGACAATTTAAAATTTCCTCCAAACTGCATTCAACTTTCCTTTCTTTTTATCCACTGGACTTACCTAAGCTATGAAAATACTTAGCAAAGATAAAAATTTTAGTTGGTCCAATGCTGAGTTTGATTTAGTAGGAGAGAAGATGAAAATGTATTTACATACACCGCTAATTATTTCTTTTATTAGATGTAATCATTCAAGTAAATTCATTATCTGATTGCCAGGTATTGGCCAGAAGCAGGGAAAAGGTTTTTCTTTCCCTGTTTAAATGTCTCTGCCCCAAGGGTCAGGCATACACTGCGTTTATAGGTGGCAGCGACAAACCCTACTTGCACTTCAATCCAAAAAGCTCTGGGACTGCGTCAACGCTATGTGGAAGCCGTCACATGGCTGCTGGCCTGCCGCCGGCTCGCATTCTGCTGGTTCAGAGTTTGTTCCCTTCTATTTACAAAAGGTTGTGTGGACACACCGCGGGGAAAAGTAGGGTAGAGGCAGGGGGTGATCTGGGATGGGACAGCGGGCAATGACCTGGGTAAAGGCAGCGGGCGGTGATGTGGGCAGGGGTTAGTGGGCAACGATGAGGGCAGGGGCAGCGGGAGGTGATGTGGGTGCAGGCAGCGAGGGGTGACCTGAGCAGGGGCAGCGGGAGGTGCTCGGGGCAGGGGCAGCAGTTCCCCCGCGCTGCCCTTCCCCGGCCCCCTCAGCGCGTGACCCACCCAGAGTCCACACGAACTCCAGCAGAACCGCCCGCCGGACGCCACGCGACCGGCGGGCCCGTGACGCCAGCCCCGGCTCCCGCGGAGCGCTCGCGCGGCGCCCGGCGGGTCCGTGTCGGGTCCGCGGAGCGGGTGCCGGTGCCCGGCGGTGCCCGCGCGGCCGAGGCTCCCCCCTCGCGCGCCGAGGGGCAGTGGAGCGGCCGCCACGTGGGAGCGGCGCGCGCGGCGTCGGTGGCGGCGCGAGGCCCCGCCCGGGGGCGGGCGCTGCGGCGGGGGACGCCCCGCGCGCCCCGCACGCGGCGCGGCCGCGGCCGCTTCCGCGGTCAGACCCACGAGCCCGAGGCGGCGACGGCGGCGGTTGGTGCTTCCGGTCCGAACCCTGCCCGGGCGGATCTATGTGGCCGGCGAGCGGAGGGGGGGCGGGGGGAATGGGATAAGGTGAGGCTGGAGGTGACGGCGCCGTGACCGTTCCGCTCTGCTCCCCGCTCCCCGTTCTCCCCCTCCCCAGCCCCGCAGATGGAGGCACCCGGGCCGGGCGCGCGCGACTCGCGCCGCCGCCGCCGATCGCAGCTGCGAACAAAGAGCCCCCCGCCCGTCCGCCCCGGCAGCGCGGCCCCGGCCCGCGGGCAGCCGGGGGAGGGGCCGGCCCCGCGCCTCCCGCGCCCCCCCCGCTCGGCCCCCCTCTCCCCGGTCCTCCCCCACCCGCCGGGGCGGCGCTCCCCGCTCGCCGTGGGGTGCGTGGAGCGGCGCCGTCCCAGCCAGCAGCGGCAGCGGGACCTACCTTGGCTCTGCGCGGGGCCACGGGAGCCCCGGGGCGGCGGGGGCGGCTGGAGCGGCCGCCGCTGGTGCCCGCGCTTCCCCCCCGCTCTTTGTGTGCGAGGGTCCGCGCGCTGCGCTCTCGCGTGACGTGACGGGACCGTGTGTCATTTCCGCACAAGGACACCGAGCCCCGACCCGCCGCGGCCAGCGCCACCCGCCGCCCCGGGGCAGGGGCAGGGGTGGGAGGGGAGGGAGGGGGGAGAGCGGCCCGCTCCTCCCCCCTCCCCTTGCTCCCCACCCCCCGCCCTCCCCGGCGCTGCCACTGGGAACGCGCGCGGTTCCCACTGGAGTCCTCGCGCGCCCCCGCCCCCGTGCCGCGCGCGCCCCACCGCCCACTCGGCGCCGCGCAGGCAGAGCCCCCGCCGCTGGGGGAGGGGGGGGCCGCGCGGCCGCTCCGCGACACGCCCTTCCCGCGCCCCCTCGCCCGCACGTGGGGCCGCCACCGCTCGGAGACACGGCCCCGCGTGACGGATCCGGGACCGGACGCGGGGACCGGCAGGGACGGGGCGCGCTCCCCGCCGCCGCGTGGAAAGCGCGCGCTTCCCCCGCTTTCCACCCGGCTCCCGCGGCCGGGCGGCACCGCGCGGTGTCGCGTGGACGCGGCGCGCGCAGAGTCCGGCGGTGGGCCGCGCACGCGCGCGCGCGGGGGAGACGCGAGGCCGCGTGCCCACGGCAGGTGACGGGAGGTGGCGGCGAGCACGTGGCCGCGCGCGGGCACGCGGACTCGCATCGCCCGCGCGCCCCCGGACACCCACACGCCCACGCGCGTCCCGCCACCGCCGGGCTGGGGCAGGAGCGGGGGGATCCGCGTCATCCACGGGCAGCACCAGGCTCCGGTCGGGCCGGCGGAGGGGCCGCACGGCGCTTCCCAAGCCCCCGGCTGCGGGCGCACCGGTGTGGATCCCGTACATCCGTCCCCATGCCGGCTGTCCGCGGGTCACCCCGGGGCAGCCCCGCGGGCGGAGCTGGGGGGACGCGCCGAGGGTCCCACTCACACACCGGCCGTGACACCCGCACGCAGCCCCTGCCCGGACCGGGAGGCTGTGGCCCCTGGAGCTGCCAGCGCTGCCCGGAGCTGGCGGCACCCGTGGGAGCTGTGCCCGCCTGCCTTTGTGTGACCTTAACGAGGGTTTCTCTACTTATCGCCAAGTAGGAAGGGCCGGTGTCTGGTGCCGCTTTAGGCTTAAGCCTGTACTTAAAAAAAAAAAAAAAAAAAAAAGTAAGTTGGTTTAATTCACATCCAAGCTTTTTCCCACGCCAGTTTAACACGAGACCGTTTCCATGCTCCGCGTTTGGGGGGCAGATGGCAGCAGTGATTTATAAAACAGACATGGCATTCTTTTTTAATTAAGTATCCTTGTAGATTTTATCTTCCCTGAAATTGACAGGAGCGCAAAAGACATTACATTAGCCTGCCAAATTATACGTTCCCTTTCTACTTAACAGCTTGTAGAAAACCAAACCATTTCCCACAGATTAGAAAAATAAAAAAAATGTGGGAGAGCGAAATCTGGTTTTGTAACCTATGGCCAGTTATGGCGATTACATTTTTTGGCTATATGTAACATACCTCTGGAACTTGGCAGCTTGGCATGAAATGTTTTACTTGCAAAATGAACTCGGCCAGTGCTGCTGTTCCTAACAAATAGATTAATTTTGCTGTTAACGAAAGTACACAGCCAAGTGCTCTGATTATATTGTAATTGCTTTACTTTTTTTTTCCACTAGAGCAACAGAAGTTAAGTCTAAAAGGTGTTTAATATAAAATAAGCTTCTATGAAGGGTGATGGATTGCATCCAGCATGAAGGATGTATCCGACAGAAGTTACAAGGTAAGTACACACCAGGCAAGCGGCAAGTACATGTGAACGTAGAACACATGACCTCTGAGCACTGCTGTGAATGTACCAGATAAATAAATCTTCTGTTTGTTATCTCTGATGCTTTTTTAAAATTAAAAGCAAATACAAAACCATGTAAGTCAACTGAGAAATAACTGGAAAAAAATCTCAGGTAAATCTTCTGCCCCATAACTCAGCACTTTCCTAGACACTTGCTGTTTCCTTAGAATTGAACAATACAAAGAGTGACTCGATATAAAAAAATTTTATATAAAAATATAAACCATTTCAGATTTTTGTCGCTTTCTTTAGAAGCAGTTCTCTAAAATTTTGTTCTTCCACTTATGTCACTCTTCTAAATTTAGCATCTGGGACTTTTGGTGTGTTTACAGTGTCATATTCCATGAATAATCCTAACAGATAATAGTTTGACTGCGCTTTTTATTATTGTCATTGATAGACAGCTGTTAAAAGGAGCCCTTAAAAGCAGGAACTACCAGCATTTTAACTCATAAGAACCACTGAACGAAGGATACATTTTATTAACAAGATAAATGGTCTGCAGTTAGCGGTGCCTTCTCTCTTTGGAGACAAAAGCACGTCCAGCTAACTTTTCTGAGTCTGTTAGCACTATAAAGACTTAAGTTTACGGTATGGTTTGCCCCCTCCCTTTATTGTAAAGCTAACTGAAGGTTTTCTTAAAGGGTACCGTGTTTTAACACCTGTCCCAGCTGCTAAGTAGTGCTAGATCTCAGCTGGATTTTACTTGAATGCTTTACTTAGTGGGATTAAGGAAAGGCAACCATAAGGCAAGAGCAAGCCCGTGGAATCCCAAACTCAATTTCAGAGCCCTTGAGAAAACACTTGCCAGTTTGAACTCCACCTCATTTCTGCTCTATAGTGCTGGCCTGAGGCACTGTAGCTACTAGGGACCCAAGCCCAGGAGGAGACCTGAAGGGCCTCAGCTAAGCATAAAGAAGCACGAGCATATTGTTGCAATAACAGTATTTAATGGAAAGGGAGCGAGTCAAGTTGTCTCCAGGCAATGCAGGTAGCAGGCTTAGATTGGCTTCTCAGCCAGACAAGTCCCATTTTTTTTCACCATCTGAACTTGTGCTACACACGTCATTTATTCAAATGTTCATTTTCCCCCCACTTCGTGCCTGTGGCTCAAAAGCCACTCTGTGACACTACGGCAATCTCTGAAAAATTTCAGGTCACCAGGGAGGGGAGTTGTGGTGCTCTAGCAAGAGAACTCCTTAGTAAAAAAATCACCCTTGCTCTCCAGTATAATGGGCCATTGGTGACTTGACCAAATTGCAACTAAATTTCAGCCATGCCACCAACACAGATGTGCTCAGAACCCCTGGCGAGCTGAAAGCCCTGTTTGCAGTTGTATGGAGTTCTGTAAGGGTGGACTATGGGCAGCTCCTTAGACTTTTATGCACTCTAAGGTGCCAGGCCCTCCCCCGGAGGATGCCCTGTCTGAGTTAGTTCAAAGGATCTGATCAGCTAGAGATTCCCCTGGGCAGGGGTGAGGAACCAGAGTGGCTGGCAGTGCTTGACCCTGTGGCAGGCTCTGAGCTGGGAGTCAGAGCAGCTCAGTATGCTGAGAGTTGGTACGACGACAAGGAGCAGAAGTATAACTCTAAATTTAGAAGCCTTTTTGCTTCCTGTGCTGCAAACGTTTGGGATAAGCAAGAATCCAACTAAAATCCTTCAGCAAGGCTTCTTTCTTGTAAATTCTTGCAATAGCCTACAGCACTCAGTAGGCAGAGATGTGGCATGAGATGTCGAAAGCACTTTCAGCAGCAACTAATTTTGGCAGTTTCATTCTGTAAAAAGTATTGCTATGGTACCAGTACATCGTCTATCACTTTTCTCCACCACATCTTGAAACTAGGCCACCTTGCAGCCAAACACAAGAGTCACAGAGTCCGGAAGGAAAGCACATGAGAAACAGTGGTGTACAGAGCAAGTTCCTTGAAACCTTATATACAATTTAAGACCCTAATGGGAAAACAAGCCCCCTGCCCAGAAGGACAAGCCCCCACTGGTAACCAGACTTCCTTCTGCCTGCTGGCCACTGTGTTGCTGTGTGTGTAGCAGGTGGGGTGGGTGCCCCCTCTTGCAAGGCAGCCCAGAGCCCAGCAGTTGTTTTCTGGGGATACAGAGCAATTTCTTAATCTGAGTGCCTCATATTTACTGTGGGTTCCTGCGGGCTGGCTTGGGCTCAAATGGGCCGGATGGAATGGGCTGGATTGCCCTCTAGAGGAACGTCAGGGAGGCTGGCCCCTGCCCCGCGGCAGGTGTCCAGCTGGACTCCAAACACCAACTGTGTGTGCGGTGTCAGGAAACAGGCACTGACTCACAGAAATTGGGCAGGTACTTAAATTAGGCAGCTTGGAATTCACTCTAAATTATTTAGGTCTGTATTTGATATAAATAAACTTCAAAGAGACTGAATATGTCGGGGGGGGAAAAAAGGAAGTGCAGGTTCCGAAATCTTCTGCCTTAGATTAAAATTAAAAGGGTCTGAAAGGAACCATTAAAAAAAATCAGTCCAATTAACTCACCTGATTTGCAGTAAAATGTATGCTACAATTCCAAGTTTATAAAACCTGAAATATTTAATGGCAAATAAGGTAACTTGATAACAAAATTTGCATACCTTCATGCTCTTCGCTGCCAGTCAGACTGAAAGGACATGTATGGACACATTGCACAGGAATATTTGGAACCTCTGTTGGCCCACAGGCAACAATACTGAACAAGTAACATGCTGCGGGCAATATCCATACATTGCTGTAACCCAGGCAGAAATGAGCAGTGGCAGACACCTGAACTTCATTTATATTTTTAAACTTCCTGTGGCTGCAAGCAGTGTTGGAGGGTTCTGCCAGCAACATCCTACATTAGTTGTGAAACCCTGGTTTGGAGTGCCAGTTAATATAATTGCTTTTGTTTTTTCTCGAGAAACAGAATTGTTATATGATACCTTTTTTTTTATTTATTTTATCGCAACACTGCTTCTTGTTTGTAGGTACAATGATTGGAAACTTCAAAATTGCTGTTTAGCTAGACTTTGTGGAGATGGGCAAGAAATATCATAATTGTGTTGCTTGCTGAATCAAGGATATCAAAATAGAGAATCCAAATGGCATCTCTGGATTTTAAAAACAAGCTGATTCATCTCCAAGTGTATGCAGGTTAGAAATATTAAGAGTTCAGCTCACAAAGTTTCAAAAAAATGAACATTCATTATAAGAAAACACTTTTCTAGCCTGAAGTAGCACCAGAGTATACTGGCAAGACAGCAGATATGTAACAGTTGAGTACCAAAGGAAGAAGAATTTGATATAAAAGCTTAAAAAATATCAGATCAAAACTGCAGTGGAAGAAGGAGTAGAACAGAAATGTAAAGGAGCTTCAAGAATAGAGTAACTTAACCCGGTGCGCAACCTGAATTATCCTTCTGTGCTGCAGCAGTTTACTTAGACATCAGCTGCATCCATAACTGTTTAAAAACTGACAAATCTGAGAAACTTCACTCTTGGAAGCATAAGCCTCTTTTAATCTCTTGGCAATGAAATCACAGTTCTCTTCAAGTTAGTTCAGCCAAGAACTGTGCCATTGTACGCTATTTCACAGCTTTGCATTTAAAAAGAGTAATGCTCACTTAATGCACAGTCATCCTATTATCAACACCATAACTGACTCTGAACGATCAAGCATTTATCCCATAAAGGTCTGTTTGCCAAGTTCTGTTTTACATCCAAAAGAGGTAAATACAGCCTGGAAAGTCCTTTCTCTCAAAGAGGTCCATATCTCCCAATCAAGTGCAAACAGCACACTCTGCTTTGTGTGCTTAACACTCAGTTCCATATCTTGCCCATTATATAATGAATATTTTGGACCTGTTGCATAGTCTCATACCTCATTAAGATATTTAAGTTCAAATGTCTGCAAAAATACTAGAAAACAAGATAATCTGTGAAGCAATGTAGAAAAGTAGGTTTCTTTGAGAATTCAGCTGTCTGACTGGAAGTAGCAATATTTGGACTGTAGGAATCCTCTTCGTTTCAGGTTCTGAAACTGAAACAGCCTTTCTAGGTTTTTTGAGTCCCAGCTGCTTCTGTCATGGTCAGGGTATTATATAGTCCTTTTCACAAAAAAAGTCACTGTCTTAGAAGCAGCCAGCGATCCTCCCTTCTCGATTTTTGCCCTCACTACTGTTGGGAAGCTACTCCTGAACCTTGTTCTTTGGGTGGATGGCAACCTTCCCTTCTGAATTTGCATTAACATAGATCTCTGGTTCGTGGCTACCAGATGCCTTAATCCATCCAGTTATAACCCATCTAGCATAACCCAGTCATACCCTACAGTGATTACTTTGAGAACAATCCTGAATTTAAAAGGCATTTTATCCAACAGAAATTTCCCTTTGAAAGTGGTGAAAATTTAGTCTGAGCTGAATTTTTAATGAAAACTGTAGGTTTGGAGACCTGGGTTTACAAGAAGAACAGAGAAAACCCACCTCCTTAGTGGTTATTACTACAATAGAATGTGATTGAAAGCAATTACTTTTCATGAAAGTTTATGTAAGAAATACTTCCAATCATTAATAATGTGACCATTTTTAGCAGCAGCAGTAATCTTTAAGAAAGATGTTTAAACCCTGTTTATTTTTCTGCAAAGATATCTTAGCATATTACAACTAAAAGCCATGTATGTCTTGTAGGCATACAACATGTGAGCAGAGGTAGGGACATTCATAGTTTTTATACTTCAGTATAAAATGTTACCATATTAACTTCCATAGGTTGACAAAAGCAACAGAATTGTTTGATTAAAAATAAATCTTACTAATATAGACACTTATTCTGTAATGTTCTCCTGCTAAACCCATTTTTTATGAAAATAATGATGCAAGCAACTAAGTGTAATTGTAGAAAATTATTGCCAATGATTTGCATATGAAACACACACCCTTTACAGCCTCTAGTAGCATTGTTCAACCAGCTTAAAAATAGTACAGCTGAAATGCTGCAAACAGAAAACAGTTTTCGATGGGCACATGCTATGAATGAAGAAATGTTCAGACACAATGTGCAACTTGGAGAGCTTTCATCAAAACTAGCAAAGAGGGAAAAATGGCTAATTTCCTAACCATGCTGTGTTTCGGATAAGCGTCATGCTCATCTGCAGAGAGTAAAGCCTTTTAAAATGAGTGTTTATATTTTTTCTGTACGAAAAAATACCCCTAATCTAATCTAATCTATTGGTACTTGTTTTAGATTTTTCTAATTACTTCTGCGTAACATTTAATTTTTATAATTTGACATTTAATAAATGCTAAATTTTGAACCTTGCAGTTGAAACAAGTCATTTGCTGTAAACATTGAAGGCATAAAAAAATTCTAGTTTTAAGATATTGGGGTTTTTTGCAAGTAAAATACTTACTTTTATATAGGACTTTAAAAATGTTGACCACTGTTCTAATAATAAAGCAGAGTATTTTCAGTCTTTGATATTTGGGGGAAGGGATGAAGGGAGGAAGAAAAAGTGGAGCAGTGGAGTAGGGTAAAAAAGAAAATTTCAAAGCAAGATTTTTTATAATGTCACTGCAAAATTGCAATTCTCCTAAACAGTAATACAAAATATGCCTCAAATGGAATTTTATATATAAATTTCTTAACAACCAGACAAATCTGAGAACTATTGTTTTAGTTATCAGTGGGACACCTGCCTGTCACTATTAGCCAAGAGCAGTGTTCTTGTATGATACATTTGGTCCTTTCTCCTGCAGATAAACTTGCAGTTTCACCATGTGAAGTCTGTAGAACACTGCTTCCCAGTTTAGTAAGTTGTCTTGTTGCTACTTCTATTTTGAAGAAAAGGGTTGCCTTTCCTCAGGAGATGCACGCTGACAAAAGCATTTTGCAAATAAGCATGAATTAAAGTCAACTTCATGCACTGCAATGAAGGAATCTCCTACACAGGGGGGAGCCCGAGCATTCTCTGGCTGCTGTCGGGGGCTGGGAATACGGCAGCAACGCCGGGAGCTGCGGGCAGAGTCACGCACAAGTGCAAATGCATGAAAGGGTGGACAAAGGTGATTGCATGAGGCTTTGGTGGATCGATTGCCAACTTGTTTGTCACCCTTTTCTGCCCTTCACCACTCAAAGCAAGCTTAGTACTTTATCTTTTTGGTTATTTTAAAGGCATTTGCTATCAGAATCTTAGTCTAATGGCTACTTTCTCTTAGCTTTAGAAAAACAGGCTTAGTTTAAAAGAGAAACACGTGAATGCCAATTATGTAAATAATTAATGCATTTTAGGGATTGATTTCTGAAAGGGAAAAAAAGAACATAATTTAATGCAAACACTGTCAGAATAGATGACTTCCACAACTGGAAATATTCTTTCCTTTGAACTGCCTTGAGAGACTGAAAAGCTTTAGCTCTTTATTTTCTGTAAGACACTGTGCAGGTAAAAGTACTTTGAAGACTACAAAGAATAAAAAAAAGTTTGAGGCCTTACTCTTCTGAGAGATTGAAGCAGCTGATAAGAGCAGTGACAGCTAGTCATCTGACCCAGAAGCTACTTCCTTGGCAAATCTGCAGCATGGCACAGTTGCCTGAGTTAGCCTTTTGCGTTGATGAAAATTCAAACACTATCTCCTCAGAAGAAAAAGCCACAGAGAGATCTCACCAGGAGGTTTACCCCTGAGGACGGTGGTCTGGCATATTTAACACCGCTTGGGGCAAGAAGCACTCCCCAGCAGCTCCAGAGAATATTTCCTTAATGTTTCCATTAAACCAAAAAGGGTTTTTCAAACTTTTAGCAACTTCTATCAAGTTTGACAGTAAGTCAAATACGGGCCACCTCTGTACTCTTTATTGCAAATAAGACAAGGCACATGCAGGGTTACATTAAGAGAAGCATAGCCAGGCCATCAAATCCACGCAGTCCAATAAACCTGGTAATCCCTTCCCTTCACCTGGCCAGAGGCAGGGCACCTCTATTCCTGGACAGTGTTTTCATTACCTGATTCTTCTAACTGCAAACCAGAAGTTCCTCATTCGAGTCAGAGGGAGTATCAGTCCTTCTACACTGTCTGGGGAATTGCCCAAGAGCAACCAGAGTGGTAATTTTCCTGTATGGGTACTTTTTGGTCACCATTATTCCTTGCAATTCACATACCCCAGCTTCCATGTTTGAGGCATCCCAATTCCTCATGTTCTCATGGTCATGCAGACAGAACCAGAGGGTGGCACATAAATGTGCACATGGTAGCCTTCCCCTTGAGCAGAGAAAGCTCACCTGTTAGCCTAGATGATGGCTGGCACGGACAAGGAGGAAGACATACTATCTTTGAACAGCTGGAACTGTTGGGACAGTCTCTCCCCAGCCGAGACACAGACCTGCAGGGTTGGGGTGGAAGAGAGATGTCTGGCCAAGTCATTAGCACCAGGGTGCTGGCATATGATTGACCGTGTGCTCCATACAAACTTCCACTGTATGGACCACAGGCACGGGACTCCATCTGGGTCTTTCGATGCCTGGTTGTTGTTCAGGCTGCCGCAGATCACCTCTGCCACTAATTCCCTCAGACACTGGAAATCACTCAGTAGTTGTCCACTCTTGCCTCAAGACTTTATAAGGTCCTCCTTGAGGGGATACTTTTCCTTGGAGCTCAACAGCAGCTGTCTCCAGAGGCTGCTTTTTGCTCCTTGTCCAATCCCTTTGTTGATGCCACAATCCTTTGAGAGAGATCCCAGCTGCTTGGGCCTCCTTGCTCTCCAATTCCTGACTGTTGGCTACAGTATCCCAGCATTGCAGCAGCCAGCTGGTAATTAGCTCACAAGGCTGATGGCTATACTCTTTGTGTGTATCTTGAAGCTAACTCAGGGATAAGGAGCTGGTGATTTCTGGCTTGTTCATGATTTCTCTTTTTCCTCCTGTTCCTGTGACTGTTCTGCTGCACAGCTGTCTGCCTCTCCAATCCTCCTCCTGCTCCCTCTTGGGAGAAGTTTCCTTCCTGACTGAACAAACTGACTTCTGCCTCCATTGTTTCTTCTTGACTACAGGGGCAACTGATACAGTTGAGAGTTGGGTCTCTGGCTTAGCCACGGTGCCTGTTTGTATGTCTTCAGACACAGAGACCGCCTCTCCCCTCTAAGGGTGCTGAACAGTTCTTGGCAGGCTTAGGCCAGGCCCAGCACAGTGTGAGAAGCTGTGTCTCTTTAGCTAGCCAGGGCGTCCTTTTTTCAAATGTTCTGTCATGTTATCAGGATCCTGCACTTGTTTGGGGGTCAAGTCGTACATCGTCAGAGAGAAAAACTGATCTAGATACCTTGCCGCCCACAACCACATGGCCTCAGGACACTCCTAAATATTCAGTTAATCCTACAAAAAGCTGGATACAGATTCTTGAGACACACTGATGTGAGCATTCTGATTACCCAGGGGTGTTCAAAATACTGGAGAGTCATTGCAACAAGGTGGAAAACAACTATCCTGTAGGAGGTGAAGGGGAGGGTGCCATTCTTTGTTTCCTCCACAAACAGTCTCTCAGATGAAAAGAGAGAAAAAGTGTAATTGTTAATTATCTCCACGAGATGGTTCCCAAACTACTGGGACAGCAGCAATGCAGAGCCCAAATATCAGATGAGGCTCAGGGCCAGTGCTTTTATCAGTTCTCCAAGGCAAAACAGAACCGAGTGCCGCACAGCATAGCAAACTGCAGAGCACAAAACCAGTCTTCAACAAGCTCTCGAATTGTCAAGCTTACTCTTGAGCATGACAAGGAGTGGGTAAGGAAACAAATAAACTTGCATTGAGAATGAGTAAGTCAACATCATGACCAGCAATAGCTAAACGGGTACATTAAGTTCCCTCTAGCACATTCCAGTCAAACGTCATTATCTTGAGCCCTTTGTGTTCCACCCTGGGTACCAAAAAGGACTGTGGTGGCTGGCAGCTAAGCATCTCACAGCTGCCCACTCACTGCTCCCCACAGTGGAGTGCACTATATGTTTTAGTTCTGTGTAGTGAAAGGATAGATAAAATCCCTTATAGAGGTATTTTCTGGGATGAGATGAAGCACATCTGGCGTTAGGCACATCTAAGCAAGTTAAGATTTGGCACATCCCGCCCTCTGTGCCCAGCACAGAGGAACAGCGAGCAGCATTCCTCTCCTTCCAACTGAGGGAAAATGGAGGTTAGAACGCGACTTGCTCCTTTACTAAAATCCTGAACGCGCAAAACCATTCAAAAGGTGTTTAAAAGCACGTAAGGGGACCTGGAGACTAAAAAGAGATGCTTTTAATAACGTAAGACACTTTTAGTAGACTGTTTCCCTTTGGTATTTGCTAGTGCTTCAGCTCAGCGAGCATGGGTGAGGGCAAGGAGACTCTCAGACCAGAAGAGAGTGAGCTTTGTACTGAACTACTTCTGTTCCTTGAGCAGTTTGAAGCTAATAAAGGCAGCTTTTGACCTTCTTGAAGGTCAAAAATATTGCGGGAAGCTGAAATTGATGCTACCGATAAAAGACACATTTTTAATAGATACTTCTGAAAATCCATAACCATTAACGGATCGAGAAGTGTCTCCAGACTCATATCCAGAGCAAGGCAACAGTTAGAAAATTTGTGGGTTGAGTTAAAGACAGTTTAATAGATAAAAGAGAAAAAAATGAAAGCAAAACAACAAAAAACAAGTGATACAAAGCAATCACCATGAGTTGACTGATGTGCCAACAGCCCCAGGCAGCAGACCCCCTGGAACGTCCCAAACACCCCATCCTCAGTTTTTATTGCTGAGCATGACCTTATATGGCGCACACTACCTCAGAGGTCACTCGAGGTCAGCTGTCCCAGCTGTGCCCCCTCCCTGCCCCTGGCCCACAACCAACCCCCTCAGTGGGTGTCAGAGTGAGAAGCAGAAAAAGCCAGTGCAACCACTGCTGAGCAATAGCTAAAGCATCAGCAGGCCGGCAATGCTGTTTGAGCTACATATCCAAAACACGCACTGTAGAGGATGCTACAAAGAAAATTAAATCCATCACAGTAAGACCCAGTACATTGGGCTAGTTTTTAATTTAGTCTGGTCTAAAAAGCAGTTGGGACCTTGTCCTGTATTTTGTGCATCAGTGGAATGGTCCAGCAATTCCATACCTGGGATAAATTCAGAGAAGCAGCCAACAAGTATGTCTGCTTGAGTAGCTGGTTGACTGAAGTAAATGGTGTGAATGCCTTCCTCAGCTGCCCCTCAGACCACAGGTCTCCCTCTCCCTGACTGCCTTTTAGAGGCTGGTGGGGAAAAGGAATCAAGGGACAAAAATAAGACCAGAACAACCCCAAAATTACACCATTGCTCAGAAATTATATGAGGTGTGAGGAGTATATTAGTACACAGCAATAACTAATTCACTCAGTTTGACAGATGGCTATAATAGTTTGCTTGTAGTTTACCTGGAGGAAACAAGACAACAAAAATTCCTGAAGAATTATAGATAAATATCTTAATTATAAAATTAATTAATAATATTTATAGGAGATAATTCACATTCATTTTTTTTTTAAATTAAGGTTGAATCATATAAGAGCAATCAGAACATTCTGGTAATAAAAATACAAAAAAAGAAAGTAATTAATTTTTTATTATTCTCTTTTATTGGTAACAACTATAAATAAAAACTTGTACTTTCATGAAAAAATAAACCAGCTGTACATGGGTT